TCAATATAATCTAGATAAAATTATATACATGATTCATAAACTATAAAATACTTGACATAACGAATGGGCCGAGTCTATTAGTAAAAATTTGGCAAACACTAACTATATCACTATATCCATGAACACAAAAAAAAATCTATAGTCATTCGACATATCCCCATTCCGTTATGCATTAATATATTTCAGGATGAATTTTTATAATCCAATATAAATAACTCAATCTTTATATAGTTGGAATTAATATACATCTTTTTGCATAAAATCATCGCTATCGAATATTAAGATTATATCATGCACTGACCTACCTAAGTACATGTGGGTATTATTAATATGATTATTAATGGTTCCACGAATATTATCGTTATAAATCATTTGGTTATTAATTATTATCGTTATAAATTGATCGAAGTCTTATAGTTAACGTTAAGCAATGGAACAGCAATCAATAATAAAAGCAACAACGACAAAAACTACATTACAAACCCTTCCGCTCGAACTTCTGGAAAAAATATACCATTATGTTCCACTCAACAACCTACATCACAACCTACGCAAAGTCTTTTCTTTATTCTATTACACAGTGCCAAAATTTATTTCTCGTGAGCTTTTGTTTCGTCTTAAAACAAACCCGAAATTTTTAAACTATGATAAAGAATTCAGAATTGATAAAGATATACTGTTCTTGACGTTGACGCGTAAAACGCCGCCACTTGATATTTTCCCATGGCAAATAAGAATGGAGAAATTGTCAACTTTTGACCGGTTGATTTTTATATTGGTGCGTGTTGTGACGCATATTGAGATGGCAACTATGAAGGAAATTAAAATTGGTAGCGATAAAGAAATTGATGGCAATGGTGGTAATAGCAAAGGTGATGGCAATACTAAGAGGAGGAAATGGGCTTGGGTGAATTTTTGAAAGTTACTTGGAACAAATTTAAAAATAAATCATCTCAAAAATTTGTTTTCTAACTTCTCAGATATTAAAGCATGGTATTAATGTTTTACGTGCCACCTGATAACATAAAAAGTAATAAAGTTTATTAATTTGACAGCATACGTTTCTTGTTCCTTAAGTTAATTTTAATATGGATTATTAGTACATATAAGAGAATTCTATATAATAAAAAGAAGTCGCACATAATTGAAGCTTGATTCTTGATTTTTGCCTAGTACTTATTATATATGGAATATATTCTAAGTAAAGAATTAGTTTCGATCTGGCGTTATTAACGTAGCGTAGCAAATCTTAAAATAAAATTATATTATTACTAGATAGATATAACCTTTATTATGTTTACTGTATATGTATTAAACTATTTCTATGTATAATGGAATTCTTTTGGATGAAATATTTACAAGTCAGAATGACATGTTCTTTTGATTAAGATGGCGATGACGATGATGATGACAATGATGAAATGAACATTGAAAACTCCATTCATATTACTTTTCTTCCAATCAATGAAAATACAAGATCACCTTAATAACTCCGTATTCCGAGATTTTCTTTGAAAAACGTAATTGCGACTTTTAACACATCGGTCGCCAAATCAGCGATTACTGGATTCGTGAAATCGCCAAAAACGCTTAACCAGCCATATCGTAAATTCTGGAACCGTACATGAACAATTTTTCGTGCGAACGGTTTTGTCTTTTGCAAGCTTGTTACAGCATGTGACTTTAAAATCGTAAAAATAAAATCAATAATCTGATAAAAAGGAATACATATAAATATATAGATATCGAGAAGAACTCACAAGATCCTGTAAATCACCAGACGTTATGATGGCAATTGGACATTGTATATCTTTTAGATCATCGAACGTTAACCAGGGTGTATGTATTGTAATGGCGGCGCTAAATATTCGGTTTTGTGATGCGAGAGCGGCAACTTTTCCACCCCATGATAGACCACATATTCCGAAATTTTCGATTCCTTCTTTGCGAAGGTATGATATCGTTTTATCAATAACGAGATTAATGTGACCTACGGGTGCAACTTTTGATATCCAAGAAAACCGTTCGATATTGCTATAATAAAAATTTAATATTGTTGGTTTACATTTCACTGAATAATGATTAATACAATACGTAATAGACAGATTTGTACCATTCCGCATATGCCCTCTCGCGCGTATAAGGTTCATCCAGAAACAAATAAGGCATCACAACTCGATATCCTTGACCAGCAATTATATCACAGATCTGCTCTGAATTTAACGTAAATCCAAACATATCATGCGCAACAATAATTGCTTTTTTCTGACCACAATTGTAATTTATGTTTGGCGAAGAGGATCGACCAAAAACGCTATACGCTTTTATCTCGTCTTGTATACATGTGTATGAGCCTTCGGAGAGGTGATTCGGTTTTAGTGCTGGTATTTTGATTGTCGGTGAAAAATATGTGGTAGGCATGTTTCTAATCCTCGTTTTTTAGGTATTTTGTGTATATACGTACTTATGTATGTCGATACAGCGTTGTGATTGTAATATAAATGTGGGTACGAATGATGACAATTAAGTATGAAAGAAAGAAAAAGATTGTGCTTATATCTATCTATTGTAATTTAATTTTAACTCACACACTTCCCGAAAACTCGCATCACAAGCATTTAAATCGGAAAAACTCAACAGAACTGTGTGATTTTGATGCAAGAGATATGAAACTTGAAAAACAAAAAAAATTACGGAATATCGTGTTTTAGGAAGAAGAAATGTTGGACAAGAAAAATCTAGAGCGGTCTAAACGCTCGCTTGATTTTGCAGACAATAATATTTTTTATTGAGATAAATAAGGTTTTTTTTTGGTTACCTCTTTATCCCTCTTCCGCTGTTTAAAACTATCAGAACGTTAGAGGACGATCTATTTGATGACATGCTTTTTTATGTATGCATGAAGTTGCTCGAGAGTCTGGGCTGGTCTAATCTGATAAATGCGATACAATGATATCAGCTGATCTTACTAATAATTGATATAAAATACAATGAGTAGACACATTTTATTTGATCCTTCATCAATGACTTTATTTTTGTCAGTGAGATAATACATGTACATGTCATGCAGTCAAAATTCCTAGCATGTATGAATTAAGGTTGAAAACAAATATAATAACATAAAATAAAAGACAAATACGTGAATCAAAGTTACTACATGTATTGTACATACACAGGTTTTTTTATTTTCGTTTTCGATAGAATTCTCATTGTGCATACATATGTACATGTATTTATCACTTACATGTATGCGCGAAAACACAAATTATTAGATAATCTTGAATCATATAAACTTGAAATGCATGTACAGCATATTTTTAATAAGACTAAAAATCAATAATTAGAGAGTACGTACTGCGTATGTATTTTCGCTTTAGAATTAGATAATCGGAATTAACGAATGGAGGTTCGATTTATTTGCTAAGGTCATTATATCTTCCTAAAGTTCATCTATTAAATGACAAATGAAGAAAATTTTTAGAGCTTTCGAAAGTATGTAGTAAAGTAAATTTACTATTTACCAAAATCCATAATTTAAACTCACCAAACCCTAATACATGTATTAGTCAATTCACATATTAGATCTAGTACCAACATTCTCTTTCAAGAAGTTTGCGGTAATTTGAATAGCTTCTTGCGCACGTTGACCAACCAAGGGGTCACTCCAATCGCCACGAGCGCCAGCGAATCCATGGGACATGTCATCGAACCGACGGTGTATGGATTTCTGACCAAATGGCTCTTTTTTCAAGGATTCAATGAACGGAGCCTACAGATGCAACAAATTTTGAAATCAACATCTCGATCCAATAAAATGAACACGAAAATCAAATTATCTAAGAACAAAATATCATACAAAGTCAGGATCATCTTTTGACGGCAACGCAGCGAACGGAATCTTGATGCCAGCTTGATTTTCCTCAGTGATAAAACTAGGGTGGATTCCCACAGCGGCAGCGAACGTCTCTTGCTTTGCAACCAGAAAAGCATATTTAGCACCCCAACAATATCCAATCAGTCCGAAATTCTCATTTTTTTCTTTACGCAAGTAATTCACGACTATGTCGATTGTATTGAGAATTTTTTGTTCGGGTGCCACTTCTTTTAGCCAATCAATTAATTTTTCACGACTATTAAGTGCTCAATCAATTGGTTAATTACTTACAAAATTTTCGAAGCTTCACTTTGTTTAAGTTAATCAACTTGATTATTTCGAACTTACCTTCCGCCGTCAGTTATCTTATACGGGTCACCACGAAAGAAATCTGGAATCACAACACGAAATTCCAACTGTTCTGCGAGAATATCTGCCGTCTGCAACACGTTTTGATGTAATCCGTAAATATCGTAAACAATGATCACAGCATTTTTTGCATCCTTCGGGCCAATGGTGTAGACTTTAATGTCGTCTAATTGGATGTATTCGCCTTTGGGTTCATAGTTGCTTTTTACTGGGGGGACGGTGCAGCAGGCTTCGGGTACAGACATTTTTTTTTGAACGATAGTTTTCTAATTTTTTTCTGATGTTTGTTGATTATCAGCAATTCTACCCCAAATTTTGGGGGTATGACAACATATCGTGACATTTTACATGTATCACCTAATTCTGGTTGTACATGCGCAGCAAGATTTTGAGATCATCATCGGCAAAATTGAGATATTAGAATAAATATATATTATTTTACAAATATTTAAATGGGATTTATTTAAATATAAAAATTTTCATTATATATCTTTTATAAAAAAAATTTTACTAATAATAAACTTTTTGAATTATTATTTCTTAAATTTTATTATATAA